CAACGCGCCCAATGACTTAAGCTTATGAACGAAAGTTTAAGATATAAAAAATATATATATTTTTTCTCATTTATTAGTATTCACTTATTCATTTATTAGTATTCACTTATCGACTTATTATTAAGAAAAACAAAGCAAAAATGATTCCTAATTCGGAGATTCAGCTTGTGTTTAGAAATCAGCCAACTTAGCTTTTGGTTCAGATTGTACTAAAGAAAAACAGAGCGCTGTTCTAGACCTACAATCATGCTCTCTCTCATCCCGCGATACTCAAGAGGTAGCGCGCGTTCCAAGTAGTGGTAATTATTTAGTTTAGCGGCAACACCTCCGATTTCGATGAAAATAGGCTCAATCGACGCGTTTTTGCATGCCAAACAACTTTTTCCTCTGACAAAATCGTCGTTCTCTACTACGAAGTGAGATATTAATAGACAAAGTTGAGGGCGCGTTAGGTCAGAAAATCTGTCATACCATCTCTAGCTATGCGACTGGGGGGCTTCGCCCCCCAGAGCCCCCGTATCACGGGGAGTGGGGGCTATAGTCTCTTGTGCTTAAACTAGAGTGAATTTCTCACAAAAGACTGTAGCTCCCACTCCACCGTGATACGGGGAGTCTGGGGGGCAAAGCCCTTCAGTTACATAGTTAGAGATAGACGGTATAGCTGGATAATTACCAATTTTTTAATCAACGATTGTAACAAATTAATAGACTTTTTAATACAACACGGTGTTTTAGCATCTACAATATATTATGTTCATGTGACAGATTTTTTAACCCTATCAATGCATCATTTTAATATCTCGCTTCGCAATAGAGAGCGACGATTTTGTCAGAGGAAAAAGTTGTTTGGCATGCAAAAATGCGTTGATTGAGCCTATTTTCATCGAAATCGGAGATGTTGCCGCTAAACTAAATAATTACCCAAGTAGTATATATTTCAGTGAAGTATTCACACGTTGAATGTGTGAAGTGACACACTCAACGTCACATAGGACCGCCGCCATTTTCTCGCATGCAACCGGAAACCTTATGGCTCCTGCACATAGGACGCGGTAATGCTTGCCGCGCGGCGGAAGTTCACGCGACAGCCAATCAATATGTTGTTTTTCCGTAAAAGCTAGAAGGTTATTAAGCAGCATATTGATTGGCTGTCGCGCGAACGACATGTTCGCGCGATAGTTAATTTCAGCTGACTGAACTGGTGCAATAAGTTAAAGTGAGACAAGTATATGTTTTCTCGCTCTAAAGCCAGCGGCATACGATGCTTGTTTTCATGCTGGATTGCTTGCTGGATGGAAATACTCTGTTTTGATTGGTGCATTTCTGAAGACAGACCAATCTGAATAGAGTATTTCCATCCAGCAAGCAATCTAGCATGAAAACAAGCATCGTGTGCCGCTGGCTTAACTTATTGCACCAGTTCAGCAATGCAGCTGAAAAGAACAGACTATGGACATAAGAATTCATGGACAGAGCGAATTGTCGCCCAAGGGGTGAAGCCCAAGGAGTGAGGGAAATAATTGTATGTATTGTAATGGAGTTAATATACCATAATGGCGACGGTCGTAGTTTTTATACATAAGTTGCGTTCTGTTTCACACATTATGTGCGCATTCCCTACAGTACACGTGACATGAACTGTAGATAAATGCGCGCATATACGTGTAATGGAACGCGGCCATAGACAATAGATACAAGATCATAGACTTATAGAATAGACTGACCCCTACTATATAATATATAAGTAGCTATAGCTATTTTATGAAAATGCAGTTATTACAAAGAAGAATAATTTAACAAATATAGTTTGATTCAATGAATTCTTTGCAAACTTTTTTTAAACTATTATGCCGATTGGGAAATTATTTATATTTCATTATTTTAATTGATCTACGTTAAACTTATTTTAATTGTTTATGTCTATGATATAATATATATAATAATGTACTTTATTTTTAGTTTAGCTGTGTATAGATCAAAATTAATTTATTTCTTTTTATGCAAAATGTACAATTTCATTTATTATTTTATTAGCACGTAGAGTTTATATGTACTAAAAAGTTTAAATAGTGCATTTAATAAATTTTTTTATTTTCTTATCTCTGTGTTTAATTATTCCTTGAAAAATGTTTAATTTTCCCGAATAAAACTGCAGCGTAAACGAAGCCTTATATATATATATATATATATATATATATATATATATATATATATATATATATATATA